AGAGAGAGAGAGAGAGAAGAAAGAAAAAAACAACGACGCACAATTGGCGAAAAAAAAAAAATGACGAAACATTTCATCCACTTTAGTCAGATATAAATAATTTTGTAAATTCTTCACAGATTACGTCAATGATCCACGATCATTATTCTGTCGATTTTTATTTTACTTTATCTTCCCTTTCCTTTCTTTCTTTTCTCCTTCAGTTTTTTCTTTTTTTTTTTTTTTTTTTCTTTTTCTTCACTGAAAATCGATTTAAAATATCGAAAGAGGAACGGAGAATCGACACACACTTCCAGGACATCCTGTGTACACGGGTCTGCGGCTGGACGTAACGGAAGCAGCTGACTCCGAGGCGCAAGTTTGACAGTCCCGGCTAGTCCATTCAACTGAATCAACGTTCGAGTTTTCTCGAAATGCAGCATTCGTGCACGAACAAAACCGAGAAGATTATTCCGTGCACCAATCGATCGATCGAATTTCCACTCGATTTCGGGAGCCTAATCGAGACCGGATAGTCCGTGTTCAGAGAAAAACGACGTTGTACGAACACGACGACCCTCCGATAATTCTCAAAGGTTCTTTCGATACTCGCTTCGATTTACTACCGTTTTCTTCCCGTTGTTTAAACATCTTTTTATTTTTTTTATTTTTTCCTCCTCTTTTACGTTCTCCTTTCTTTTACTTTAGTTTATTCTTCGAAACTTGAAAACACCAACTTAATTGAACACACGGAATCTTGACGAAACTTTTCTCTTTTTTTTTTTCCCCCGAATTCGTCGTCCAAAGTCCAAAGTCCTCGTGCGACAACCCCCTTTTTTCCTTTTATTCTTCGAAGCGGAGGAGAAGAGGATCCAACGATGCACGTTCCTCCGAAAACAAAGGACGGAGAGGGTGCGCGAGAGACGGAAGCAAGTGTCACACGCGAGAGAGAGTGTCCGGTTTGTGCGGTGTAAGAGAGTGCGGGTGAACGGTGCGAGGTACGCGACACGTACTCGTCGAGTGCGGCTGGCCCAGCCAGCAGACTACTCCAACACCACGGAAGAGAGACCTCGGTGGGATGGCAGTTTAAATGCAACTATGCTTCCTCCGGTTTGGGTTGAGCGCGCAGGGTCCGAGTCGGCCTGCCTCGGTCGTGCTCGGCCGCTCTCGGATCTCGTCGATATGCCCATAGACACAGTGTATATGTCTATGGATATGCCGTGTCGTGGCACGGCTAAAGCTATGCTCTCTCTCTCTCTCTCCTCTTGTCTTCTATTCCCTAGCCTAGTCTATGCACGACTATGTAACTCCTCTTTCCTAATATTTCCCCTCCCTTTAATCTTTCCTTTATCCTTCCTCTCCTTTCCTTCTTTTCTTCCGCTTCCTCCTTCCAAACTTCGTTCCTTTCTTGTGCAAGCGGCGCACAGGCCATCCCGTTCGCACAAAAGACGATAGACTCGCCGCTTTGCAATTAGTGTTGGTCACCGGGACTGTGGTGGTGGTAACACAGGTAACACGATCGTCGTGACGAGTTGGCAGAGCGCGTAGTAGTTGTGTGTACGGGTACGTGAGAGTGCTGCGGGGGTGCAAGTGGGTGGACGAGTGGGCGCGGGACGGGGGTGGCTGGCTTGGAGGAGAGGGCAAGGAATGACGGTAGTAGGATATCGACGGCCGGTGGTGGGGAGGGAAGAGCGGCAGGAGAGGGGAGGAGAGCTTGCGACAGAGACGGTCATATGGCGCCCGAGTCGGAACCGGGGATGTCTTATGTCATTTTTCTTCCCGATATTCTAACGGGTGTCCCCATCCAAGACTCGAACGGGAGCCTTCGGCGGCCTTAACCCCGTTCCCAAGCTAGGCAAGATTTTCCCCTGAAAACTTTTATATTTTATATTTTGTTGCTATATATGTGTGTGTGCGCCACAACCAGGCCTGGCAAACCGGCGCGCACGATCTCGAACCGGGCGACCCCGTTTAAGAAGGAAGATTTTTGCGGAATTTTTATCGTTCTTTTTATTGCGTTCTTCTTTACTGCCCTTACCGTCGTCCCGGGCAACTTACCCGGGGGAATAGCAATTTTGAACTTTACTGGCGCGAGGGTAGTATATATTCCTTCCGCGGGGCTGATTGGCGGAATAATAATTGGGTCGAGGTAAGGATTTTTCTTTTTTTTTTTTTTTTTTTTCTCTCTTTCTCTCTTTTAGGAAGCCGGTGTCGGAGCTTTTTCGTGAAACTATCCTCCGTTTTTTAATTTTCTGAAATTTATTTCTATATAAAGGAAAATTTATGAAGGAATTTTGTATTATATTATATTTGGGCGAATATTGGTGATTATATAGAAAATGTTTTCCTTTTTTTTTTCTATAAATATAGAGGATTATTCCTTTAACGTAGATTTTTAAATAGTTTAAACATTTTTTTTTTTTAATAACTTATGACATATTTTTTTAATATTCATTTCAGTGATATAATTTTATAAAAAGTGTAGGGAACATATTTATTGAATATTTTCGTATTTTTATTTTTTGTGAAATTTTACAATAAATGCAAAACAAAATACTTGGTAAAACATCCTATTATAAAAATATTAGTTTTAAAATATTATTGCAAAATTATTTTTAATTATTTATCTCGAATATTTGTTTTCAACATAACAATTTACAATAACAAATCCATATCGATTTTTTATAATGTTAAAATAAAGTACACTGTTTACAACGTATAATAACAACTCTGATATGGTTCGACGTTTACATCAATAATCACTTAATTATTATATTTTATATCTGCAATTTTTAATAACGATATATATATATATATATATATATATTAAATCTCTACGTACCAATAATAAATTATATATTTTATCTCAACGATATATCATCGAATTATCACCAAACGATTTATATTTATCTTTATTATTATTATTTTTTATTATTATTTTTTTCACTATAAAATACACTTTCTATTAAAATAAAAAAAAGCAATAATGTATTAAACGAAAATCCTATCATAAAGGAAAATCCTATCATAAAGGAATTATAATAACGCAACATTTGTGTATTCAACTTTAACTCGAATCAAAAAAAAAAAAAAAAATTTAATTCTATTTAAATTTTCATTCGCC